TTTTAATTTTATTTTTATTACTTATTATTTTGATCCTAAATTAATCATTATATATAAAAATAAATTACATATCTCATTATTAATATAACATGTGATCATTAAATAATAATTTTTAATAAATATATTGAATTAGAAAATATATCAACTATTTTCCTCTTTCTTATCTTTAAACAAAGCAAATTAATTAATCTAATGACATGCCAGCTTTTCAAAAAAAAAAAAAAAATTTAGAGACGTGCTAGCAAGATGGGACTTGGGCATGATCATGAGCAAATATTCCTAATATCGTTTTGATGGAAAATAGTTGTACCTAATTAATTTCTCCGCATACAATGCATTCTAGCCATTCTTCATTCATTTGGAATTGAAGATTGTTAAAAGTATAATCAATGTTTAGTCATACACTTTTTTTTAATTGGGTTTTTCTAACATCTTATTTAAGAGCATAGGTTAAGCGTAGGTTAAATATGTGATTAATATACTTTTTAACAATTAATTTATATTAAAAAAGTTAATATTAGTTTTAATCTTCTTTTTTTTTTGAACTTAAGGAATTTTTGGAGGTGGGGAATTAATAGTACTTGAGTGTAAAACCCAAGACTTTATATCCTAACACCTCCCTTCTAAGGGATATGAACACTAGGTTATTTAATGTTGGACCAAATAGTTTTAACATTAATGTCATGTGTCTTAATGGTTAATTTAATTGATTTTTTATTTTTTCTACTTAGTAATTAAAAAATGCATTAATTGCACCTGGCCCTTCGGGTTAAGTGACATTCGGGCCACCTTAAAAGTACAATCCTCCCTTCCCTGGTGGGTTCGAAGTTCGAATCCCACCCATAACACTTTGTTCTAAAAAAAAAAAATGCATTAATTACTTTCTTAACATATTTATAATTGTTTTTTTAAGGACCTATGTTAAAAAAATCATTTTTTTATTTAAAGTATTTTTAATTTATGCCCTAAGGATACAATTATGACACTCTTTTAATATTAATTAATATTGACAAATATAAAAGTCATTGTTAATTTTACTACCAATGTCACATAAATTATTTCAATTAAGTGTTTATTTAAATAAAAATAAATTTTTATTTTTTTAATATTAATTAATATAAAAATATAAAATAATTATACTTTTAATTTGTATGTTAAAAATACATCTTAAAAGCCCTTTTATTTATCTAAAAAAATGTATCATCGATCAGCACCAACAACTTTAGCTGTATTAGTTAAAGTATACCAAACTCATAATAAATATCAGAGTTCTATCCACTACAATGACAACTAAATTATTCCCTTAGCCTAAAAAAAAAAAAAAAAAAAAGTATCATCACTGCTATGAATCAAATGTTGAAAATCAATTTAAATCTTTTTGATATCAGGACTTCTTGTCTTATATATTAAAAGTTTTTTTTAACAGTACTTTTTTTATAATTTTAATGTTATGGAATCGGTTCGAACCGTTACCTTGAAAGAGGGAGATACAAACCTTTACAAACGTGGATAGAGTCACTTGGTCCGAAAGATCAAATTCTTGAAATTATATATGTTAAAAGTTTAATTAATAAACATAAAAAAATTTAATCAATAATTATGGTGCACATATTTTTAAGTCATTTCAATTGTCCACTCGTATAATTAGCTACAAACTCACCCCTCCTCAAAAATTGCCCTTGTTAAGAAAAAAAATATATACTGTATCATTTTTATCGTTTGACTCACCTCACATGCCTTAGATGACCTGACTTACGAACTCTAGATTTTGAGGCTCTCTTTAATTTGGCTGTTAAAAGTAATAAATAGTCTAATTGTTAGTTATTAGTTAATAATTAATAAAATATTTATTATTTAATAATTTAAATCAACTTACAATTTGATTTTTTTTACATACTTTAATTAATTATTAAAAAATTACAAATTGATAAAATTAATTAAATTAAATATTTTAAATAATAAAATTAAAAAATTTTTTAGTCCAACTTCTAAAAAGATAATTTTTATTATAACAACTAAAACAGTAAAACTAGACCAAATATAATTAATTTTCTTTGGAAATTGTCTTATGGTGTTTTAAAGGATATGTTTTTTTCAGGGTTGGAAGCTGAACTCCTGAGCTGTTGATTTTGGAGTATATTTTTAACCACACTTTTGAATTTAATAATTTTTATTAATATGATAATTTCTAACTTTTTCTGATTATTTAATATAAATTTTTCATTCAAATTTTGTACAAAAGATTGTGTATTATATATATATATGTATATATACACTTTGAAACTAATTCTTCTCCTAATAATATTAAGTGATTTTAAAGGTGTAAATCCCACTTCATTCTATTATATTTAAGAAAATCAAATTTCGCTAATAAAATTGTATGGAATGCAAATAAAATGAGTTAAAAAATAAGAAAAAATTATATTTTATTATGAAACCTAAGATCGAAAAAAAAAAAAAAAACATTATGTGTGACTGTAAAACTTAAAGATGAGAATGCTGAATGCACCCAGTGTGCTCAAACTTAAATCTTAAATTTAATGCACAAAATAATACTTAATAACAAATCTAATCTAGTTTAATTAGTTCATTCATTTCTTTATTGCAAAAAAGAAAAGAGTGTAGTATTTTATATTTTGAATTGTAATAAACTTCAGAACACGTTATTGAATAGGAAGGCCCTCCCCAATTTAACAATTTGATAGTTTTAATTTCATTATAAAAGCAACGGGGCACGCGAACGACGGATGGCACGGAGCTGGGAGCTTTCCAGAAATCAGAGAAGGAACAGAGATGGATGGTTCGTTGGCTTACCAAATAGAGGACTAAGAAAGAAACAAGATGTGTGGGGGTATGACAGAAGAGTGTACAACCAAGCTTCTGTATTCTTCTTCACAAACTTCCCGGATGACTGGAGCCATGAAAGCATGTGGCTCACTTTCCGGAAATATGGGAGGGTCTTGGCTATCTACTGCCCACCGAGGAAATCCAAATCAGGAAGAATTGGGTTGTAAGATTCCTAGATGTTGAGAATGAGATGGAATTGAAACGGCAGCTGGATCAAATCAGAGTAGGGATGTCCAAACTCTGGGTTAATGGACCAAGATTCAGGAAGGCTGAGGAGAGGAACAGAGATGCTACGAAACCAGTTGAGATGAATCTTGTCAAACCGTGGAGATCATTTGTTGAGGTTGTTAAAGGGAAGAATAAGTTGGAAATTAATAAAGAAAGACATCCACAGTCGGTTACAGGTGCTAGAGATCACCAAAATAAGCAGCAGAAAACAGAACCGGCCACAACAGCAACACAAGTATGGATAATGAAAAACAACGATCGTGCTAGTGTTGGCTTGGAGTTTACAGTGAAGGAGGAGGACCTCTTATGGTTGGAAGGGTGTTATGTTGGAACTAAATGTTCTGTCAATATCATCCCGACTCTGCAGCAAAAGTTCTTCATGGAAGGATATTTTTCATGCAAAGTAAGACCTATGGGGGGAAGATTAGTCTTATTGGAGGGGGGTGATAAAGATGAGATTAAGGATTTAGTTGAAACAACTCCGGAGTGGCTGGGGCAGTGGTTCGAGGAGATAAAGCCCTGGTCTCCATCAATGGTTGCTGGTGAAAGGTTCATGTGGATTCGATGTCAAGGCATTCCAGTTCATGCCTGGGGGCCGGAGTTCTTCAATACAATTGGGGCGGTATGGGCAAAAGTCATTTCCTTAGATGATAGGACTAGTAAGAAGCTAAGATTTGACATTGGGAGAATTTTGATCTCCACACCCATCATGGAGTTCATTTCAAAATCTATGAACATTACCGTAAATGGTGTGCCATACTTGATCAAAGTAATGGAGGAAGAGGCCACCAACGGTATCTTCTCCATGAAGTCTGACCATGTGTTTAGGGAACTAAGTGATTCGGATGATCATAGCTCTGAATCTTGGTCCTTGAATAGCGATGGTGAGAATGCCTTTGATTAATCTGTTCATGGTGAAGGCTGCTCCAAAGATCTTTGTAGAGCTGCAACTGGTAAGGTTGATGATGATGACATGGCAAGGGATAATGACGTGGAACATGGCTCCGGAAACAAGCTAGAAGAGGATTGGAAGGAGAGCCATAAGGAGGAGGTAAAGGCTAACAGGAAGAAATTTGAATTTGAAGAAGACACAGAAGGAATGATGAGTGTGGATGGCTCCAACGTTCAGACAGACAATGAGTATATTGATGCAAGCATCGGGAAGTCTCAAAAGTTCCCATCAACAAGCAAGGTGTGTCGGCTGAGGAGGTAGGCTATGTGTCTGATAGCCTGAGCATGCATTTAATGCAGAGTCTGGGACAAAATTCAAATTGCAAAAATGGTGAAATGAATGGGCCAACCAATCTAATCCAGCTTAATGAGAAAGAGTGGGATAAAGGCTGCCGGTTGGACCTCCAAGCCTGTTTAAGAGATGATGAAGATTGGGCCTTGAATATGGGCCCTAACAAAACCAATAAAGTACATGAAGATGAAAATGATGTGGTAGTAAGAGATAAGGATATTGACGGGTTTGAGGAGGAAGAGGTAAATCAAAGAAACAAAGGATGCTTGACTCGGTTAGCAGATATCAGCGAGGAACAGTCCTTCTGGCAAGGATTTGAAAGTGAATTGGGGCAATTGAAAGCTTGGATGGGTAGAGAACAACGAGAAATCAAGAAGCAGAAGAAGAGGATGAGATCATGCTCCTCGGTGTACAGAAAATCCAGAATCGTGGTTCAACAAAGGATGGAGGAGAAGCGGGGCAAATTGAAAAAGGACCAAGATCTAGAGGAGATGACACCGAATTTCTGGTCAGGATCACAAGAACAGGTAGCGGATGACTCATTAGCAGATAGCGGCATTGAGAATAGGAACAAATGCTTGTGGAATAATGGAAAAATCAGTAAGGAAAAGCAGATCTAGGGGTTCGCCAAGGAAATTGGAGTAGTGGACCGCGGGAATGAAGACGAGATTCTACAAAGACTAAGGGCCATGGAGGAACAAGATAGAGAAAATTATAGAAGTTCAAAGGCTAGAGAGGCCGAAAATGGGGGAGCAGATGTGGGGATTTAAAATGATATTTATGTCAACCAACATTAGACAAGTGGGTGGAATTGGGAAGAGAAGAGGGGTTAGAAAAATAGTTGTTCGGGAGAAGGTTGAATTTTTATCAATACAAGAATCAAAACCAGAGGTGGTAGATGTTCAACTCTGTAAAGCTCTATGGGGTTATAAGAAATTTTGAATGGGTTGCTCAACCCTCAAAAGGTTTGGTTGGAAGCTTGGAAGTTTGATTCGTATTTGGAATTCAGATTTATTGAAGAAAGATAGAATCATTGAAGGTGAAAATTTTGTTGGGGTTTTTGGATTTTGGGGAGCAACTAGGATTCCTGTTTATATCATTAATATTTATTCCCCTTGTGACGTTCCTAGCAAAAGGGCATTGTGGGCTTCACTCAAAAATCTTATTACTAAAACGGGTGGGAACTAGTGCTGAATGGGTGATTTTAACGTAGTGAGAAATGAACAAGAAAGGAGGGATGGGATGAGCATAAGAAGAGAAATGCTAGAGTTTGATGATTTCATTAATGAATGTGGCTTAGTAGACTTACCATTGATTGGTAGAAAATTTACCTAGTACCATTCTAATGGAGTATCGATGAGTAAGCTAGACAGATTTTTGATATCAGAAGAATGGTGTCTTAATTGGGAGAATGTTAAACGATGGGGCTTGAATTGTACATACTCCGACCACTGCCCAATTGTACTGAAAAATCAAACTACAGATTGGGGACCAAAACCATTTCGATTCTTTGATGCATGGTTGGAATTCCCTCAGTTTAAAGCTAGAGTGGGTGATATCTTGAAGACAACAGTGGTAAATGGATGGAATGAGTATCGTCTAAAAGAAAAATTGAAGGAAACTAAGAAGATGCTAAAAGTGTGGAGTAAGAATATGACCTCAGAGATTGACTTGGGTATACAAAGGAACATCGATTCTATTGCTTCCATTGATAAAAAGTGTGAGGTGAGGCCACTATCTCCAAAAGATATAAAGGTTAGAAGGTTAAACTTCCTGGATCTATGGAAAAATCAAAGGATCAAGGAAAGCATGTGGCGCCAAAAAGCTAGAAAAACATGGATAAGTGATGGGGATGCCAATACAAAATTTTTTCATAAATGTGTGAAAGGAAGAAGAAGGATAAATGATATAGCAAGCATCATGGTGGGTAGTGAGTGCTTAGAAGAAGTCAACAATATGAAAGAAGGCGTGGCTAATTACTTTGAGACTTTGTTTAAAGAAGATGCTTGGCACCGCCCAGCCTTAGATGGGATTCAATTCAAGAAGATATCAAAGGAGGAAAGGGAGATGCTGGAAGCACCATTTAATGAGGAGGAGGTTAGACATGCTGTGTGGGATTGTGAGAGTTCGAAAGCACTAGGACTTGATGGGTTCAACTTCAAATTTGTTAAAAAGATGTGGGAAACACTCAAGGATGACATAATGGGATTTGTAACTGATTTCCACAAATATGGTAAGTTGGTCAGAGGGTTGAATAGTTCATTTATTGCATTAGTCCCTAAAGTTACCAATCCACAAAAAATTGAAGAATTCATACCAATCTCACTAGTTGGTGCCATATACGAGCTGATTGCAAAACTGTTAGCATGCAGACTATCTTCTGTCTTGAATGGGATTATTAGGGAGAATCAGATGGCCTTTGTCGGAGGAAGGCAATTAGTTGACAGTGTGGTTATCGCTAATGAGACTATTGATGAAGTGCAGAAAAGAAAAAAGGAAGGGTTTGTGTTCAAAGCTAACTTTGAAAAGGCTTATGATAAAGTTTGCTGGGATTTCCTGGATTATATGATGCTAAGATTGGGTTTTGGTAAAAAATGGATAGACTAGATCAACGAATGTTTGAAGACAGCAGAAGTTTCTGTGCTACTCAATGGCAGCATCACCAGACAGTTTAAGATGCATAGAGGACTTAGACAAGGTGATCCTCTCTCCCCTTTTTTATTTTTGATCATTGTTGAAGGTCTTAATGGCATCATTTCATCAGTTGTCTCATTGGGATTGTTTAAAGGAATTGAAATTGGTCATAATGGCATGAATGTCTCACATCTTCAGTTTGCTGATGACACAATTGTGTTTGGTAGAGCTTCAGAAGAAAATATATGGGCTGTAAAAAGTATTATAAGGATTTTTGAGATGGTTTCAGGGCTGAAGATTAACTTTGGAAAAAGTCTGCTCATGGGCATCAATGTTTCAGATGAGTGGATGACTAGGATGTCCAGTATACTGAACTGTAAACAGGGGAACTTACCTTGTAAATACCTGGGCATGCCGATTGGGGGTAAACACAGAAGTATGGCCATGTGGAGACCTATGATTGATTCATTTAAGAAGAAACTTGCCGGCTGGAAAAACAAATTCATTTCTCTTGGTGGAAGGATCATGCTCCTAAATTCCGTGCTATCTAGCCTCCTCGTGTTCACGATGTTTGTCCACCTGCTGCCTAAAGGTTTGATCCTCTTACTTGATAAAATTCATACAAGCTTTCTTTGGGGGGGTGGAGAGAATAATAGAAAGATTAATTGGGTTTGTTGGGAAAATGTTTGTAGAAGTAAATTGGAAGGTGGGTTGGGTGTTAAGGACCTAAGAAAGTTCAATTTAGTGTTGCTAGGAAAATGGTGGAGTAGATTAGCGGAGGGTGAGGAAGGTTTACTCTATAGGGTTATTCGAGAGAAATACGGAAGTAAAGGTGGCAACTGGCTAAATTGGATTAAAGAGGGAAACTAGAGGGGGACATTATAGTGGAGGGATGTTTGTAGGTTAGATCATTTGTATACAAGTAGAGTTGGCTGGCTCTCAGATGGCTTTACACTAAAACTGGGAGAAGGTAATTCTGTCTAGTTTTGGGAGGATGTTTGGATAGGAAACAAGTCACTAGCAACAAACTTCCTAGACTTTTTTTGAATTCCTTAGACCGAACAAAGAGCATTTCTCAAATGGGATACTGGAACAATGGAAGCTGGAACTGGAAACTAAAATGGAGGAGACCTATCTTCTCTTGGGAGGAAAACTTGATGTCGGAGCTATGAAGGATGCTGTAGATTACCCAACCAACCAAGGGACAAAAGGATCGATGGGAGTGGAGGCATGACAAAGGCATTTACTCAACTAAATCGGGATATCAAGCTCTCTCTTGCAACCATCAAGAGAGTAGAAATAGCATGTATAAAAGGATTTGGTGCAGGCTTGTCCCAACAAAAATATGTGCTTTTGTGTGGAAAGTTCTACAAGACAGAATTCCCTCCAAGCTAAATTTGTACAAAAGAGGTATTGGTCTAGATCTTAAACAAGCTACATGCAATTTATGTAATGAGAGTATTGAAGATACAAATCATCTATTTATTCATTGTAAAATTGCATACTTAGTGTGGTCCAAATGCCTTCAATGGTGGAGAATTACATTGGTTAGAGCTGATAATTGCTATGAATCATTTGTTCAACAATTAGCCTCTTTTAAAAATGTAAGTATTAGGGTAGGATGGGATGCAGTATGGTTTGCAACAATTTGGTCTTTATGGATGGCTAGAAATGTAAGGGCTTTTAGAAACCAAGAACAGGATGTCAATAGGATTTTTGAGCTAGTGCAGCTGCGGACATTCCAATGGATGAAAAACAAATCACTTGGGTATTCTTTCAGTCTATGCAATTGGATGCTGGAACCTATGGAATGCTTGAAAGACAAGAGGAGGAAATAAATTAGCATTGCTGCAGGAGGGAATTCGAGATGGGCTCATAACAGTCATAAGATGATCCATCTCTACTGAACTGGTCCGGTGTTGATGGTTTTCGTAGTGGACTCACTTTTTTCTCTATCTCTACTATGTAATATTTTGTAGTGTAACAGGTTGGAGTACCCCTTGTACCCCATACATATTATATATATATATATATATTCTTTTTGCTGTGCAAAAAAATAGGAAGGCCCTCCCCTAGTATCAAGAACCCTCTCTTAATTCACTAATTAATATCTTATAATTTGATATCATTGTCCAAACTACAAAATATTTGATTTACCAAAGACAAATATATATATATATATATATATATATATATGTTTTAAGAATAATGATAAAAGGGACGAATTTTATGAAACTAAAATTGAAGACTAATGATATAACATGAGGCATGTTATTTAAAATATTAAAAAATCTATTTATATTATTTAATAATTGATTATTTTTACTTTTATCAAGACTCATAATATTATATATATCAATTCATTAACAATATAACTTATGTCACATGACTCACATTATTGATTCTAAATTTTAGTCTCTATACTAATACTTTTTTTTTAAAAGAAAATACACTACCCTTTCAGTTTCATCATCGATGACGACTCCATACAAATATTTATGATTATTTTTTATAAGTTATGGAGAAGATCAGGCCCCGTTAGTTGCCATAAATCAGAATTAAGAAACGTGCTTTATCTGCCAAATGGTTAATTTCAAAAATCACAATCACAACTTTGTCAAGCCATTTGCAATGACTTTGTGGACAGAAATTATAATGTGAATTAGAGCACGTTTTAAACTATGATATATGGATAAAAAAAATATGGATCAGGCAGCACGTAACAAATGAAAATGACTTTCATTAATCGTCAATCTGGACCAACTCAAGAGACATTGTACTGATCAGAACATTTGATTTTTTGTTGCCAACTTTCCATGATGTTGGATTGTTTTGGTCGTAGCTAGAAATATGTGGGCAAAAACCTATTTGAGCCCCTCACTTTACCAAGTTTGAAGCCTTTAGTTCCTTATCTTATATTTGACACTTTTAACCTCTCACTTTACTAGATTTATAGATTTTAGCCCCTCACCTATTAAAATCGAAGAAAATAACCCTCACTTTATACTGACTGTTAACTCTATTAGCTGAAAATATATTTTTACTAACTAACAATCAACTAATAGTCAATTAAAAAAATTAATGAAATATTATAAAATTAGTTATGTTAACTCTATTAACTGAAAATAACCCTCACTTTGAGGGACTCTTTTCCTAGATTATTTAATCTGGCCTCTAATAGGAATGCCAAAATTATGGAGGTGGGTCATTTTTCTAATGGAGTATGGGTCTGGAAAAATATTTGGAGACGTGAATTTTTTGGCAGGGAAAAGAATGAAGAACAAAGATTAAAGGAGATTCTTAAGAGCGGGATTGTGCTATCATCCCAACCGGACCAAAGGAGCTGGAGCATTGATGCAGCAAATGGATACACAGTCGGCAAGGCATATTCAATGATGGTTGGACAGAGCAGAATTCTAGAGGCAAAAATATGCAAAAGGCTATGGAACAAACTAACTCCGACAAAAATAAGCTGTTTTGGTTGGCGCCTTCTACTTAATGGCCTTCCAACAAAATCAAGTCTTCAAAAGAGGGGCATTTTGATTGAAGAAGAGGAGAGCATGTGCAGTGTTTGTAGAAGGAATGTCGAGGATGAAAATCACCTATTTGTTCAGTGTTACAAGATCCAAGGTCTATGGATGAGATGTTACAAATGGTGGGGGATTTCCATCTCCCTCCCCAATTCAATTTCTCTTCTTTGCGAAGCTCATAGCCAAGGCATAAAGAAATTAGTTACTACTGATGTGTGGTTTTTCATATTCTTGGTGGTGACATGGTCCATATGGTACACAAGAAACAACATTATACACAACTCTCAACAATGGGAAGAAGACAAAATATTTGATCTAATTCAAAGGAGGTCTTTTGCATGGATTAGGGGGAAATCTGTAAACACTATATTTTCCTTTTATAGTTGGTGTAATTTCCCTAACTTATGCGTACAAGAAATCACTAAAAAATAGATTTGTAGTCAGAGATTCAAGTTTCATTATTGATGGAAAGAAGAAGAAGAGTGAGCAGGACAAATATGAAGAGGTTGAAGAATAGAAGCATGCTGCAAACAGTTGGAAGGTACCAGAAATGCAACTAAGGAATCCCAGAGCCAATAATATCAACAAGGGAGGTTAAGGTATTCTGGAAGGGCTGAGCACAGTGAAACCCGACACGGTCGTGGTGTTGACACTTTATTAGGGTGTCGACACCAATCGAATGAACTGTGCCCAAATCTCCGACACGGACATGGTGTCGACACATAATATAGGTATCGACACCGAACGGAAGGGCTTTTGACTATGTAACTCTTTGCCTTACAAACTAAGATGGTTATGGGTTTGGGGTACCCCTTGTACTCCGTAGCAATAAATATTACTTTGCTTTTCAAAAAAAAAAAAAAACTAAAATTAACTGAAAAAAAGTTTTTGACAACTAATAGTCAGCTAATACAGTTAACAGTTAACTAACAGAACTAACAAAATGTTACCAAGTGAGAGTTATTTTTTCAATTTTAATAAATGGGAGGCTAAAAGTGTCATAATATAAGGTGAGGGGTTAAAACCTACAAATCTAATGAGGTGAGGGGTTAAAAATGTTATAGAGTATAAGATGAAGGGCTAAAACCTTTAAATTTGACAAGGTGAGGGGTTAAAAGTAGGATTTTACCAAATTTGTGAGTGTGTTTTTCTCTTTTTCGAGAGAGAATAGATACCTATACATTATATATTACAGATTAGAAGATTACAAGAGATATACAAACACATTATAGATATTTTCTCTTGGCCTTAAACCCATTACAAATAATATGTAGCTTAATTTGATACACCAGATGTTCATCGATCCCTGTATAACACATGTCAAAGCTGAAAACTGCGTACTTATCCTTCTTGAACCTGTCCTATAATAACTTCAACGGGTTTATAATACTTTATTTATTTATTTATTTTTTGATGTAAGTATGATACTTTTTATTATAAGTCTTAGAACATTAATTGATATATATTTTGATTCAATATATTACATAATATATTAATTAAAAAATTATTATTTTATAATATAAAATTAAAAACAAATAAACTTAAAAACGCAACCATACACATAGAATATAAGAATTAGTTCAATTAGTTATACTTATATTCTATTTTTAATAACTAAACTAAAAAATAATCAAGGATAATAATTGGTACATTCACTGATTCAACTCACCTAATGACGTTCACCGGTTAATTCATTAACAAACTAATATTTTTAAATTTGAATTTAAGGCAGGAAATTTTTAAAGACAAATTTTAATTATTGAACCGGTGAATGTTACTAGTTGTGTTGAACTGGAGGTTTTACTAATCATTTTTCAAGTATCAAACAGTATGTCGAATTGAGTATATACTAATAATTTTCCTAAGTCTTGAGATATTAAATTAAGAAATCTAAAAGAATATAGGTAAGTCATTACAGCACTTCGATTAAGGCAAGGCTGAACAATGATGTTCTCTTTATGATGTTTATGGTGATAAAGGAAAAAAATAGAAAACATTATGCTTAAACCCTGTGCTGTAGTTAATTAATCTAAATCCTGGTTAAGTAGATTTTTGCGTGATAGTTTGGAGGTGGTGAAAAATTAATTTATGCGTTTGTTCAGACTCTGTCGTAAAATGCTTACGTTGTCACTTTAGCATTAATCGTGTAGTCAAGGTCAGTAAAGTTGCAATTGATTTAGGCCGGATGGGAGGCTGGTTGAATGTGTATTGGTGAAATTAGCTCAAGTTGTCTGTGTTAGGAGGAAAGAAGATTGTCAAAATTTGGATTGTTGGTGGTTAGGTGAGGTTGTGTCCTATGTAAAATATATATATATATATGTAACTCATTTTAATACATTTTTAATTGTTTATCAAAAAAATTTAAAAGAATATATTATATTTTTTTTTCATTACAATAAATGATGAGTTATATAGTATAAGATAATTCTTCTTTTCTTGAATTTTTTTTTATCTATTTCAATATTTAAATTTGAAATCTCTAACATAATAATTCAAACTCTTAATTATTTTTTTATTTTTGATATCTTCATAAGGTACACAAAGATTTTGAATCCTAAGTTTAACTTTAAATTAAAGTTTTTAAATTAACAGTTATTAACTCAACTAAATTTTTGTTAGTTCAAACTCTTAACTCCTACTCGTTGTTCAATAATTTAAATTTTTGACTTTTAAAACAAAAACAATTAAATGAAAATTTAACTTAGTATATAAATGATAATTAATTTTTTTTTTGAAACAAGTGAAACTATTAAATAAGAATAACATATAAAAATTCAATTAAAATTCCTTTATTATGTTAAATTTTTATTTAAAATTTTCATTTTAAAAATTTTAAAATCAAAGTAAATAGACTATTATTGAACGGAGGGAACAAAACATCTACTAGGGGACGAATCATATTCTTCTTACCGACTATTGTATTGGATATCTAATTTCATTAGAGGATTGAAATGTATATGTATTTGTTTTGTAGAGTGTCTCTAATTCAATTTACATGCATTTCTAGGTTAATTCCTAAATAATTTTAATGATAAAATCTTAGATCAATAATATACAAAATAATATTTACGTAGCAACAGATACCTTACAGATGGGCCAAAAAAAAGTAATGGATACCTTAAACAGGAATGATACTATTTATTATTATTATTTTTTGACCAGTGAAAAATTGAGGAATGGAGGAATAGTTATAATTTTCCTATGAGAAAATGAGAATTTATAATGGGAGTGGAGTACAAAAACCCAAAAAACAAAAAAATCTTCGCAGCCTTATTTTAAACATGCTTTTTGTTTTTGTTACAAGTTAGCAGTCATCTTACTTAAAAAATTCAAAATTATTTACGAAGAAGGAGGGCGTTTTTGGAAGCATCATGAACGGCCAAAAAAAGCGAAAAGCATTATCTGAGTCCTCTTAGCACATTTTTTTTTCTTTCATTATAAAAACAACAATGTCCCACACGTTCTTTTGGATGTTTCTTTATCTTTTTTTGACGTTCAAACTCACCCAGGGACTTCCGCTTCATTTCTCAGTGCTGTAAATAGACTTTTTTTATACAATATATTATCTAAAAATATAAATTTATAATTATTAAATAATTTTATTAATATTTTATATACTTTGTTAATTTTAATCGACATTTTATATAATTTTGCGATGGTAAAAGATGAAAAAAAAAAGGAGAAAATCTTACAATTACAACATAACACTAAAAAATGATGTTTTTATTTTTAAAATATATTTTTAAATTGCTTATTATTATTACTTGAGAGGTGCTGATTTGAACTTTTTAAGTGCATTTTTTTCTTTTGGTTTTATTATAAATAATTGAGCTTTTATTATGCCAATGGGTACCCAAACTTGCTACAAAAATTCTGATTAGGAAATACAGGTTGGTGTTACTGCCTCATTAAGTTACAAAGGTGTGATTTAAATTATTGAGGGTCTGGCAATAATCCCATTAGAAACCATGGGGTTAATATAGTGCATGTTTATTTTTATTTTTTTAATTCTTATATAAAAACTTACATTTTAATTAATATTTTTAAAAACTAACTGTCAAATTAAAAATTTTATTCATATAAATCAATATGTTAATTTTTATATTTATCTAATATTTATAATTTTTTTTATTAAAAATACTATATGTACTGACATATATTTAACAATTTTAAATTTTGTGTAATCAATTAATTAGATCTACTAAATCAATCTAAATTGACATGTATAATCTATATAAATAAAATTTTTAATTAATATTCAATTTTTAAAAATTAATTAAAATATGATATTTTCTAATTAAGAAATCCTCCAAAAAAAGACATTAACACTTTTTCCATAAATATCATCCCAATGCCCAAATACTTACCCTTCTATCAATATCTTTACATAACTCACATGAATTTTTTTAAGTGCTAGAAGTTGAAGTAAAATGTAAATAAAGGTTAAAGCAAACATAATTAGCATGCACACATTTTGAGTTTGCTAAACTTTATCAATTTCATGATTTAATAATTTTGTTTATGGGAGGGTAGCCAAGATCTTACATCAAATAATAGTCAACTATGGTTGCTGTTTTTAAGTAACGTGCTTCTACCTTGATCGGAAAGGAAATGCGTTTCTTATTTTATTCATTAGGGTTCTTCATATCAATATTTTTTTTATGAATTAATTCTGACATAAGTGGCTAATTTTTTTATTGAATTAAAGAGGTAATTGTGGTGCTTAAAGCTAGCCGATAGTACCACCTTTCCACAACGCGGTACAATGGTGGGGTACAATCCAAGAAAAAAAACTGCACAAATTAGTCTTTAATGAATAAGGTCTTATGTTACACATCGCACAGTATCAAGATGATTGAAATTCTTTAAGATCATCATAGATCTCATGCCCCCTCTTTCTCAGAAGCTTCACAAAAAAGATCATAGATCTCATGATCTTCCTTACGATCCAGTCTAAATTAGTTCGTAAGAATGAAATTCCACGAGATCATTATAGATCTCAAAACCCTTCCCTTGCCATACGTGAAGTCGAAGTTAGTGTATATTATTATTGCTTGAAGAAAGGGTACTTCTTTTTATTAGATTTGCTTATAAAAGACTTAAAAGAGAGAAGTATTAAGGATATTCCCTTAAATGCATTTTTTAAATACTTTTTATGTGATTGAGTAACGTAAAATATATATTTTTTTAAATAAATTTTTTTATAATTAAATACAAGGGTTATTCAGACCTCAGCCCATATTAGTGATTAATACCATTCATAAATACTTAATGAGTTTTACAGCAACCGGTATTTAAGATCCAGTCCGAAAAGCAAAAGTTTCCTTCCTTCCCTCAGTTTTTTATCTCTAAAAAAGACCTCACTTGCATTTGATCAAACATTCGAACCACCTCCACAGAACCACCTTTAAAATACTACCTCATTCTTGGCATTCCAAAGTGTCCAAACCAAGGTGTACCAAACTGCAACCAAACCTACTCGGTTCTTTGTTATTTGTACCATATCTTCATGCTGTACAAAAGAGTCTCTACATGACATGTAGAGCGTCCAAACGACAGTGTTAAAGAGAGTGTTATTAGCATTCATTTTTAAAGGAACGAAAGCTAATTCACTGACAATCTTAACTTAGAGTAGATGCTCAACATTAAAGAAATCAATTAATACATACTAATTCACGCTTTTCATCAACTAAAAAATGTTAATTACTATTATCATTAGGAGAAATTATAAGACATCTATTTTCTTACTGTAAATTTACTTCCTTCAACTCTCCCGTCTATATAAATACATCATCTTCAAGATGACATTGGCACCATTCAAACTTAGCAAGTATGGCATCATCTCAAAAGAATGTCTTCGTGAGCTCTCAATCAGTTATCAGTATTCAAGAGCTCTTGAAAGAGCCAATAAAATCAATTCCACAAAACTATGCTCTCTCAAAACAAGAACCTCCTGTTCCACTCCCACATGCCACCCATCTCTTACCAACCATTGACATGAATCGATTTGCTTCCAAGGAGGAATTCCATCTCGAACTACAGAAGTTGCATTCTGCTTGCCAACACTGGGGTTTCTTTCAGGTTCTTCCTCAAACACCTTTCAATCATGTTCAGGAAGTACAAGAAAAAATCACTCCGAAAAGAAAGTAAATTTAATATTATTAATATTATTAGATACCATGTTTCTTTCTTAAAGAAAAAATTAATGAGTAAAATATTGAATATAAGAATTTAGAAATTGTGTTGTGCAGTTGATGAATCATGGCGTAAGCTCCGAGCTGCTGGAAAAGCTGAAACATGAGATGGAAGGATTTTTTAAGCTTCCGGTGGAGGAGAGAGTGAAGTACAAGATAAGGGCAGGGGAGGTTGAAGGGTATGGATCCGTAGCCAGACCTGGAGGAAAGCTTGACTGGGCTGACAGGTTCTACATGATAACCAACCCTGTTCATAGGAGGAAGCCATATCTCTTCCCCGAGCTCCCTGCATCCTTGAGGTACTTACCTTGGGATCGTTGGTATTGCTTTTATAGATAACATTAGTATCCAACCCTTTATAGTATATGTTTGGTTTGAGGAGAAAAGAAGATTTTTTATCAATTAAATTGTAATATTTAAAAATATTATAATTCAATTAGTTAAAAAACTCATTCATTTCTTTCCCTCCCCTCAAACCAAACATTCTATTAGTCCAACAACTTTTACAAATACCTGCAAACTATTCCGTTCATGGTCTCTTTTATAACTTTCTTTTATATCTATTGTTTTATATATATATATTTGCAGGAGTACGTTGGACACGTACATGTTGGAATTGCAAAAACTTGGCATGGAACTCCTTGGGTTGATAGCAAAAGCTCTAAAAATAGAGGTAAAAGAGATGAAGGAGATTTTTGAAGACGGAATGCAGGCGGTGAGGTTGACACTCTATCCACCATGCCCACAGCCAGAGCTAGTGATCGGAATTACTCCTCATTCAGATGCCACCGGCATCACCATCCTCAACCAAGTTAATGGAGTCGATGGTCTTCAAATCAAAAGGGATGGAATATGGTATCCCGTTAGCTTCCTCCCAGATGCTCTTGTAGTCAATGTAGGAGACGTTCTCGAGGTTTGCCTCACACTTCCCTTAATAATAATCGTTTAATAACATTGCATACAACAGTTTACTCAAGTTGTAGACTTGTAATGTAGATCATACTATAAATGCCATTTCAACCAAATTCATTGAGAAAACACAGCTCTTGAAGTCATTTTCACTCATCATGTGTGTGTTTATTTCAGATTCTGAGTAACGGGATATATCACAGCATCGAGCATAGGGCAGCAGTTCATTCAGAGAAAGAAAGGATGTCCATAGCTTTCTTCATAAACCCTAAATTTGAGGCAGAGGTGGGACCTTTACCAAGCCTAATAAATCCACAGGACCCACCATTATATAAAAGGATGGGAACAGAGGAGTATGTTAAGGGGTTCTTATCCCGTAAACTTGATGGGAAAACATACCTAAACCATATGAGGGTTGAACCCTAAATGAGGACTGAGCGTGAAGAAACTACTACTGTAAAATGGCTATAAAAATGTAATCCCATGTTTAGTAATAAAATAAATGGGCATGCAGCTTGGTAATACATATAGTAATTAATAGTGTTGTGTTTGTGTTATATATATGGCCACCTTATTGCCTTATGCCTTCTGGTGTATTCTATGCTTTGTAACATTATATATGAAAAGAATTATGAAAGTGGAATGTTGTTTTTTTTTTTTTTTTTTTTTGTCGATAAAGCTCCATGACATTGTTACGAGCAAAAAACGTTTGCATAGTTCTCTCCGTATGTATTCTGCATAATTCGGAATGTCAAGCATTACTGTTGTCTAACATGGCAAAAATATTTTTTTTTGGATGACGAAGAAAATCCCTTTTCATCGGCCACTTGAAGCATAAGTGATTAACTTTAGGATTTATTTAGATGGTAGTAGTGACTATTTTTTGGTCAAGTTACTTCTTTTAGTCGGATTTAATTATTCTATTTTTATTTTTACATAAAATTTGATTAGATAATTTTATATAATAAATACATGATAATTGAAAATTTTTTAATTTATATGAAAATACTCGATGAAAACTATATATATATAAATTATTTATCATCTATTTACTATTTAAAATTATCTTATCAAACTTCATGTATAAATCAAACTAGAACAATTAAATCAATCAAAGAGAGTCTATGAAAAAAAACAAGAACTAAAATTAAGAAACTTCAATGGAAAAACTAGGAATAGCTAAGTCTTAATTAATATCTGATTTCCTTTTACATTAATATTTCTGTTCTAAAGTAATTGATGTTTTTTTTTGGATTGCTAGATGTTTTCTTATTTAAAATTTGTCTCAAAATAATAGTTTTTTTATATTTTAAGGCAAATGAATATTTTTTTCTTACTTTAACTTTATAATTATTTCTTAATTTTATCTATCTATTCTATCATAAACAAGTCTCTTTATTTTTATTTCTTTTTTAAAGGATAAAATAAGTAAAATTAGGAATTGTATTCAAATCCTTAGTACTGAGATAAAAGCAAGAAATGTATATTATTCTAGGATACAGGGAGTAGCAAATAATCAAAGAATACATATTTTTAATTTATCTTAATTTATTTTATTTTTATAGTTTGACTAAAAAATAGTCACTATTGTAATTGACAATTTCTTTGTTTAACCTTATAATTATCTCTTAATTTTTATGATCCATCACATCATAAAAAAGTCTCTTTAACTTATTTCTTTTTTAAAAATAAAAATGATAAAAAGAAAAATTGTCCCCAAATCCTTATTCCTTAGTCGAGTTTAGGATTGCTCAATGCTTGACACTAGTATATATTCCATAAATCAAAATCTATAGAGGAATCATAGAAACATTGAGTGCTTGTTTCGTTGGAAGACCAACTTTATCAAAACAATTTTTAGTAAGAAAGTGATTAAAAAAGTACTATACAAAAATTGATAAATACTATATAAAAAGATGATAGGTTTTCCAATGAAGTTTTGTTGAAATTTTGTTAGGTTATTAATTATTTTGTATTTGGTAAGAAATTGGTATAGAAAAAGTTGATAGAAAAGTTGTTAAATGGTCCCATATAGTGAAAATTGGAGAAAAACCTTTTTCTTACAAAAAATGTGAGAAGAAAAGTTTTCAAATTGTGAATTGTGTTAGAGAAAATAAAATTAAACAAATCACTTTTGTTCATTTTTGTTATGATATTAATATAT